TGCTCGAATTCCTTGTGGGATCAGTGTTGCTGTTGGTTAGCAAGAATTCTTACCTGCTTGAAAAGTCAGACTTGAATTTTATTGGGAGGAGCCTGTGAGAGATTGGGCAAGATGTTTAAAATGCTGCTTATATGTATGACTTTGTATAGATTTTTGCTGTTTTACAGTGGTTGGATTCTTGTCAAAGGAAGGGTATTTGAAGTTTGTGCATCCCCTGCCAGCTACAGTCATCCATCCACCCAGGAGATTCTTTTCCTAGTGTATTTTTGTTATTGCTGCTTAGACATCCCCCTTAAAATGATTAATTATATGTACTATAGTCACACACTTGAGGAGAAGGAAAGGGGTTTCTTTTCACCTTCAGTTGTCAGAAACGTAATTTTCAAGGTCTGCTTTCTAAAAGTATATGGGTATCTGGCCAAGAGTTTGTCAAGAATGCAGAGAAACCCTGTTCTTTCCTGCTCTGTAAATGTTAACATGGGTAGAGGGGAGGTGGTTACTAGGTAGTAGATACACTGTCCTGAGAAATGGTTATAGAGTAAAAGAAAGGATTTAGACCTGTAGTATTGAGATTTTTTACTTTATACATTTTTACAGGCATTTCAATTTGTAGTAGCACAGTTGAAGTAAAACCTGCACAGTGTAGTAAATCCTGGATGTCTAAGAGTGTGTATGTAGTCTTGTGTTGCTGCTTTAAGACTGTTCTGTATAATAAGAACCATTCCATCTCTCCATGATTAAAATAGAAAATCGGAAAAGTTTCTAGACTTCACTGGGAAAAACCATCTGTACTTGAAGAATCTCGTTTGCTGTGTTTGTCCATCTTGATAGACAAGTATTTCCCCTGTTCTGTAAGAGATTCACTATCCCTGCCCCTTCTACTTATACTAGAAGCTCTACCAGGTTCTCTTACTGGTAGTTTTGGAGGACTGTGTTGGTGGGCATATCTACCTGTGTCCTTCAAGGGTAAAAGTCTCCAGCAGTTTGCTTTAATAAGTTAATTTCAGGTATGTGTTGTTTGGGTTTGGTTTTTTTTTCTTCCAGATTGGTATTAGGACAGATGCAAAGAAGATTATGACAGGGGTGTAGAAGCTTAAGCATTTCCATAATTTTGCCTTGTTTTTCTGCATGTTCTTGCTGATGTTGAATCTCTTGATCATTTACAGTGCCATATATGTTGCATGACACTATGGTAACTAAAGACACAGAGAATTCAATGAAAACTGATGTTTAGTAAGTAATTGAGAGTCCAGATGAACACTTTGCATACAAAAGCACAGGGAGTTCAGCAGGTGATGATTTAATTTGGTCAGAAACCAGTTGTGCAGTCATGTATATTCTTATGCCCCAGCATGTGCTGTCACATCCCCAGCATCCAGGCCAGATAAAGCTGCAGAATAGTGGGGTGTAGGTAAGAACAGAGTGTAAGGGAGGAATAAGCTTTTGGATGTAGTAAGATATTGGAATGTGTTATGGGAGGAAACTCAGTTTTGCAACTCCTAGGGAATTCAGAGTACTACAATGAAAATATATTTGGGAACATAAGAAATCATACAGTTGTCTTCTGCTTCTGGGGAAAAAAAGTTCTAAAAAATCAAAACTCTAAGAAGGCAGTGAGTGATGTAAAAGATGTGTCTCTTATAAGCTACTGCTATTCAGTACAAACAATGAAGCAAGATGAAATTTGTGAAGCAGTTTATTTATATGATATGAAGAATGTAACAGAGTTTTGGGTTTTTTTTACATATCTGCACCCAGGTAACATGGTTCAAAATTGCACTGCCACAAATTTTCTTGGTAATTACTGGTGTGAAAATGTAGAAACTTAAGTTTTACTATTGAAACATGAGAGACTTCAGGATATATAATAAAAAAAACAAAATTGAAGACCTAGTGAAATTTGTTCATGCTTCCTGAAGCCTTTACTGTGAAGTGATGACAAATCATTTTTCAATGTATGGTAGTATAAACTGAGGACTAAACAAAACTAAATAAGCACGAGTCCATTCTATATAGAGTATTGTTTTTGTTAAATCTTCAGTGCTTTCTCTTGCAGGTGGAAGGAAAAATTTAAATATTTAGTTGGATTCCTGCGAGAATTAAAGACTTGGAATTTGTCCATACTGCTTGTCAGGCTTGAACTATGCACAAACACAAACCAGGCAAACTTTCCAATGAAGCATTCATTGTTGCCAATGGTATACCTTAGTATTTGCATTCATGCCTTTATTTCTATCAAGTGCTGAATGCTGTTTGGGAAAGTTTGAAACATCAGAGTAAAGCTCTAGAAAAAAGTCTTGAAGTGCTAATCATTTGGGCTTGTTTCTTTTTTCCTTTCTTCCCCTCCACCCATTCAAATTTAGCTGAGCATATGATGCTCCTTTGTCTCAGATTATTTCTTCAGTGAAATTGTACTGAAGAGGCAGGCCAGCTGATAGATGGATTAAGTAAGAAATAGATGATTACAGTTCGTAAGTTTATGTGATGCTCTTCTGAGAGGTTATTAAATGCTGCCTGGGTATTTAAAGAAATATGGAAAGGCAAGAATAAAAGAAGCCTCCCTGTCAGAATTGATAATTGCAATACTTTTGCCTATCTGTTAAATAATCCTGAATATGCTTGCATATCTAGAATAAGGGAATTGTGACCATACCAGAAATGTTGAGGTACTGCACACATACAGGATGAACAGCACTGAATTGAAAAGAGGGTATCCTGGGGCTGTTTAGGTGCTTCCCCTTTGTTTTCTGGGGATGAAACACTGAAGTGGAAACACCAATGCAGCTGTACAAGTAAGTAGCTGTTGTCATCTTGAAGTTTGTTAATTTAGTCTGTGAGAGTCTGGGTAAGAGTCCTCTAAGATCTCTCAGCCATTGGTTTGCAGGGGTAGATCTCTAATTCTTGGAGTTGATCACTAAGAGGTTGTGAGTATAATTTGATATATTAAGCATAAGTTATACTCATTCAAATAATGTATTAAAAGTTTTTAATGATTTTAGGTTGTACCATAGCATAGCTAGAGTGTATATCAGCTGTGGTGAACCTCTTGAATGTTGGTTAACTTGTCACTTGCATAATTAATTGGCCCTGCAGAGTCCGTGAACTACTGGTCAGATAATGATGCCAGAGCAGTGATGAGATCTGGCATTTGCAAGCTTGGGTATGGTGAAACTTTTTCCTTGCAATAAACATGGATTTATTGCATTTGTGCATCTGTTATAAAAGTATTCTTTGTACTGTGTGAACCGTGCAGAGTGATAATTTAATTTCCTGATCTATGTAAGCAGATGATGTTATGCTAATCCCATTTTATCTCCAGTGAAATAAGAGGCACCATGTGTATGATGGCAGTTTGGCTGTATCTGTTGGTGTTCGTGTTGCAAGCATGTGTTCTGCTTTCTGGATTCTGCCCAGCTGTTGGACATGAAATGTGGACTTTCTCTTAGTTTCCTTGGTAGTTTGGGGTCTTTGGCTTCTGTTTCTTTCCCATTCTGCTCTTTTGTCTTCTGGAGGAGTAAATTGGTCTAATTATTATTTCATATGACATACTTGATTAACTTTACAGACTGCTGCCTTTGCTGACGGTTTAAGTAGGAATCTAAGTGTTTGTGTGCTCACAGATCAGAGTGTAATTATGCTTTCTAAATTGATTTAGTTCAATTAAGCTTTCTTATAACTGAGTATTCATGTCCTTGCAAGTGAGGAGAAGGAGCGAGTATCACAAGTGCTACATGCAAGAACATTTAATGAAATAAAACCCATTAAATTAGCTGGCTGCCTAGTATGCTTCTCAAAATTTTCAAGAAGGTATGAAATTAAAGTCCTGCAGGCATCTCTGAGATAAAAACATCTTGACAGCTCTAGTTAAGAGTATTGGGTATCAGTCTTTAGCTTTGATTTCATTTTGGACTGGAATAACAAAGACTATAAAAGAATATGAATGCAATTAAAGATAACGACTACAAAATGTAGCACTAGAATATCTGGAAATGGTAATGCTCTGTCAACTCAGCAGAATAATACTTACCTTGCCACACTTACTGCCACACTGTAGTTGCAGTGAAATCTTAAGGGCCACTAAGTTAAGCAGAGAATTTCATTGGTAATTTAGGATGGGGGAAGAATGTAATCATCACACAACCAACTGCAATGCTAAAACCATAAACTTCCTAATAGTATTTTACATGGACAATTGCATAGCAATTTTTAACAGAAATTTTGAAGAAAGTGGAATTGCCTGTCTCTGTTGTTAAAGTCTGCATTTCTCTGTCTGTGCAGTTAATTATGGTAAGCACAGTTAATGATATTTTAAACATCTAAAGGTTGTTCTGTAAGTCTTTGTCATTTTGTCCACCTGTCGCTGTTTCCCCAAGCCCCAGTCTTCCACAGTCTTCCCCCAGTAAAATGCTCCCTTTGATTCTAAGTGAGTGACTTGACTTCAGTCTTTATGTACTTCTCTTCTGGCAATTTCTTTGGTTTGACCCATCTTTCACACTTAATGTAGGCAGCATTCTTATCTGGTGTTCATACAAAAGAAAATCTTTAAAGAGTGAATCTGTGTTAAATAAAGTAGACTTCTAGCAGTCAGAGGGTCAGATTGACTGGCATATGATAGCTGTTTTATGCATTCTGGAGCTACAAAGCAACTGGAGAATGCAGAGCTGACTCAGACGGATTTACAGCTGCTTTGCCTTACTCAGGGCAACAAGACCTGCGGTTTATTTTAATTCTTGGTACTTTGTCAACTCTTGAATTTTCTCTTCCTTATTTTCCTCTTCCCTCCCCCCCCACTTCAAATATATACCTATTTCCCCTTTCTGTGTGCCTATCTTGTTGACAAATTTCAGATGCAGGAGCTCTGAGGATGTTTAGGACTGAGATTAACTTTTAGCAAAAATTTCCCTCCATTGTGCCTCCACCTTCTCATTTTTCAGTCTTACTGAGGCCGCAACTGCCTGATGGTCAGTACTTGCCTTCTGTTATTGCTACTGGGAATGAAGCCAAGTGCCCCCAGGGGAGAAAGTGGCTTCCTATCAGTAGGGATATAGATTATGACTTGGAGAAAGGATGAAAGCAAACTAAGTTATTCTTTGCTGAGAGGCAGCCTATGGCATCCATCCTTCTGAGAGTGTACGTAAATGGCAGCTGTTGTGGAAAATGGGCAGTTGTTTTAAAAGGTTCTCTGGAGAGCATTAGTCTTCATTCTCTCAAGAGCCATGAGAGAAAATTACTTATAAATCTAAAATTTTCTCAATTTTACTTAATAAACTGTAAGATACTAATCTTAAACATACATCCATGGAGATGATTTGAGGAGCAATTCTGGTGGTACATATTTAAATAACTTTTTACATCTTTGAACTAGTGAACTTTTGCAAATTCTTTTTTAAAAATCCATTCAGTATAGAACTAATAAGTGCTGTAATTCTGTAGGGGACAGCCATAGTTATGCATGACTAGAAGCTTTAAATCTTAGATTGAAGTACTGAACTCCTTCCCGACTATTTGAAGCCAGGACAGTGGATATCTAATGGTGACCTATTTGAGTTTACCTTGGATTACTAATTCACTACGCAGCTCTTGTGGAAGCAGCATTTAGGCAGCTTTTTTTCCCTTCTTTTCTCTCTACCTAATTAAGGTACAAGGTTACATTGTGACTTAGGTGTGTCACTGAGGGTTGTTACTAACTTTTTTTTTTACTACTTAAATAATTTGCTTCTCAGTGAATTCTCTGGAAGCAGTGTGAGTGAGTCACATTAGAGTAAAGCAAAGCAGGCTGACAAGTCTCTCTGTGCACTGTAGTGCAGAGCAGATGTACTTGAGCTGGATTTAAGTTGTCATTGTCACGGTAACACAGAGTTCAAAGTAAATGCTTTGGCAGTTGGCCTGATCTCATAAAACTGGTCTTTACAGGTCCTCTAGCTCTCCTATAACATCCCTCATCCTCCTTTGTTGGATAATGTCCAAGCTGTACACTCAATCAGTAAAGGTAGTGTAGGTGCACTTTGCGTATGCAGTTTACGTTTATCAGGCACTTAGTTTCCAGGGACTTTCTGATGACACAGTATTACCCCACAAAGCAGTAAATTATCACCCTCTCTGAGGCAGAGGGTGGACATTTATGTCTTGGAAACCTGGAGAAATTAACTCTCTTCAGTATCTTTCCCAAAAGTAAATTCTGCTGACTGTTACTAAAACAGTTCACTTTCAGAAGTGAGTGTTAAAACGTGCCTTGTCCTCCTTTCTGTAGCAGTGTAAATAATAGGAATGCCAGACCAATATTCTTCCACAGACGTGTGTGGAGATGGGAACTAATGTAAGTACTTTGGATTCATATATGTATATATTCTATGTTCCCATCTGGCTTCTTGAGTACAATATTTTTAAAAATAAAATCTATATTCAAGTATATCAATGCAGTTGCTAATGCTTACACATAAAAGCACCAAAATTCTGCAAGCTGTCATTTATCTCTGATCCTTACTAAGATTTGCCATTGGTACGTGTATTGCTGCATCTTCCCTTATGGGCTATAATGCTGCTTCTAAATATCATTTGAAGAAATCCCTTTCAGACCTGCTGAAAGAAACACAGAGCATGGCAGAAACTTACTGGTCCTTGTGCTCTTCTCTGAAGTATCTCATACAGATGTCTGTTCATATTCTTGACTTTTCTTGAATGGAGAATTGATTGAGTGGTTGAAAGTTAGGAGATAGCTGGACACTGACAGCCCTTTCTATGTCTGCCTTCCATTTTTGGAAATGTGACAAAACTCTGTACCCTAAGTGTCCCACGAAAATGGGATCTGCTCAGACACTAACAGCTAGATCAGGCAGGAAACAATCAGGAAAAAAGGTTGCTCAAAGGAGTTGAATGCATTTTTCAAAGAATACGTGGAACTAATATAGAGAAATAACTGTCTCCTTGAAATATTCCCATGTCCTATTGCTGTTCAGCTTTAATAAGGCAATAAAAAAACCCCCAAAACAACCCAAACCAACTAACAGAGAGTCTTTTATTTGAGAGATGTATTTAAATACAGTTTTAATAATTTCATCTTTGTGTCTTGGATAATACCAAGTTTTATCATACCATTAAAACTTTCTGGTAGGTGTCTGTAGAAGCAGTCTATACTTCCATTATTTTGCTGTTTCTGCTGTTAAACAGTCCTTTCTAGTGAACCTCGTCTTGCTGTGGGAGTGCTGGCCCCTTTTCCCATGCCCCACTGTATGTGTCTGCTGTACAGCCCTCTCCTTTCACGTAGGACCACATCTTCTCCGACCCACAGATGGTCCTGATTCCTGGCACGGTGCTTCTGTTTGGATTTGCCAAGGGAGCAGTCCCTCTGTAAGGAGTGTGGTGCCCCTTGGGCGCTGGACTTTGGACCATTTGGTAGGTCTGTCCCAGCTGTGGCAAGGAGGACTGGGGGTTAGGAGCTAATAGAGAACCACTGGGCTTATTTTAGAAAAGAAGCCTAAATTTGTAGTTTAAAGATCATTTAGCAACACATAATTAACATAAAATAATGCCCTGAATTCCATCAGATTGCTTTGTTACTGGCCCTTCTCTTCCATGTGTAGAAGGCTTTACTTGTAAATCAATGCCGTGTTATCCGTATATAAAAATAATGTTTTATGCGTAAAAATAGAACAAGGTCGGCTTTTCAGTAGTATTGGAAGTGATCACTTATTTCTTCTGTGGACTCTTCCTAAAGGACTGGTTTTATGACATGTGATAAGCTGCTGAAATTAGATCAGCAGGAGTCAACAATTCCCTAATCTGTTAGAATATTTGGATTATATTTCTGAGGTTGCTTAGTAAAGATCTTAGGGCAGAACTTTATGATTTCAAACTGTTCCTTAACTTTGAGATCTGATTTTTAGATCTCGGGGCGGGGGGCCTGCTATTGAAGTCACTGAGTTGAAACAAAGACATCAGTTATGTCAGTATTCATTTTTCTGAAACTTTGTTTCATTTAAGTAAAGTCCCCTTTTTTTCCCCTCCATAATGTTGGAAAAAACGGGCTGACTTTAAGTAACTTTGTTCTGCTCCAAAAAGCAAAAGTAGAATAAATCTTAACAGTCACCACCAGGTAGACAAGTACTATGTGGTGATGGGAGCAAAAACTTTGCTGGTAGTGTTTTGGAAGATTTCAGGCTGAGTTTCTTTGCTTATGTAAAACAGTGGTCTTTGTTTGGCACTTCCAATGGTGCTGGAACTGTTGTGTAGCTGCACTGATTGGTTCCATGCAGTGGAAATCTGACCTTTAGCAGATGTTTGAGAAATTGCCCGCATTCAGAGTGATCAGACGACTAGACTGTTTTTTTCCTTATGTTGATGAGAACTTCCATTAGATTAGTAATGTGCGTGACAATATTAAGCTTTTAAATGATTAGTAAACTTCTTGAAACAAGGCATATCTTCCTGCAGAATAGAGCTGCATCAAGTAATTTATTTTCTTATATGCATCGTTTTGCTAATTGGTTAGCTAATGGAAATATTTTGATAATGTAAGTGGTGTATGTTTTTTCTTTTTGTAGTAAAGACATTTAGATTTTAAGTAAGTTTAGTTTGTCTGCATTTTTCTTAAAAGGTCATTTTTAGCATGCTGTTACAGCATCAGTTTGGGATAAATGCTTTCAAAGAAAAAAGAATGAGCTTAAATGGGCTGGGGAGGGGGAGGCAGCAGTGAAACATATCCCATCTGGAGCATTTGGCTTGGAACAGGATGTTGCATGACTCCATGTGAAGTCTGCTCTCACGAACAGTTTCCTAAGCAATATAGGAGATTCAGCTGCTTAGTGGTGGGAATTTAGCATGAAAAAAGGTCTGTTTTCTCAAACTCCAACGGTTAGAACTAAAGGAAAGAGGTGGGACTTAATAAGAGATTTATGTGTTGAATAACTCAGCAAAACCACCAGTTACCAGATTAAACCCTTTCCTGCGGGTGCTGGCTTTCCTCAGACCTTTACAATTGTTTTTCCGTGTGATGCATGTGGAAAAAATAATTATTTAAAGGATTAGAACTTTAAAATGAGAAAAATTACTAATTACTAAGTTGTCTATTTCTGGTTCTGAATTTAAAAATCAAATAATTACAAGATAATTGATCTTGTCTTGGCATTAGATACCCTGTATACTTGTGCACTTTTAAAAAAATTTGATTGGGTGGAGTTCTAAAGTTTTTTGTTATCATTATCATTTTGGGTGCAGAAAACATGTTAAGGAAATAGACTATTGAAAGCAATGGATAGTCTTGACAAGCAGTCCTGTTATTGTGGATTCTTGGGCAAAATGTATCCAGTGTATCCATATCCTGTGAAAATATGGTTGGTTTTTGTTGTTTTGTTTTTGTTGCTGTTTTTTTGGTGTGGTTTTTTTTTGTTTGTTTTTGTTTGTTTTTTTGTTTGTTTTGGCTTGGTTTTTTTATTTGCTTGCTTTCTTTTTTTTTTTAACTTGAATATTAGGAGGGAAGGGATGTGATGGTGAGAGAAGCCACACACATTACAAAGCCTGGAAATCTTTGCCCTTTGCTCTCAGTGTCAAGAACACTTAATTTTTCCAGTGCTATGGAACTTGTCAGGTATGTTTCTTTATTTTATGATTCCCATGAATTTGTGCCAAAATTCCTTGGCAGCTCATTTTGTTATCTAAAATTCTATGTACCAAATCAGATGAAGTTTTTTTGGGATATAACTAATATTCTGATTCCTTTTTATAAGCAAAACTAGCAAAGCTGTCCTTGCTTGTATGTAGCACATTTCATGTTGCTTCTCTGTCTTGTTTATTCAGCCTTCGTTTTGTAATCTAAACATGAGGTAGTGGACATGGTAGAACTGAACTGATTCCCTGAGGGGGTGAAATATTTGTTTGTCTGGTTCATAGTGAGGATTTCCTTCTCACCCTGAGAGGGAGACTTAAGAAAATCGCTTTAACTGTGGCATTCCATCCTTCCCTTATTTTTTTTTTTTTTAATGGAATGACTGGGGAGTAAAGGCTCTTGATCTTACTGGTTTTGTAGTAGGTGAAAGGCATGGGAGAAAAACGTATTGGTTTATGTACCTGTCTGAAATGCTGGCAACTGCTGTCTACTCAAGGTATATCAGTATCAAAGTTGCAAGGTTGCAGGTCTTGGCTGTGCTTAAAACTCTTCATAATTACGGTATTTGTATCACAGTGACATAACTGAACCAAAAAGCTGTAAGGAATCCAATAATGATTATTACTTTCAAAAGTATTTATTGCATATTCCTTTAATTTATTCCAGTATTAATGTTTGTTGACTGTAGGAGACAGACTTCTCTGTCTTGCATTTTTGTCTTGAATGCTAAATAGAGTTTTTCACATGAGTAATTCTTCCTTTCTTGTGTACAGTAAGTTGATTGCAGCAGAAGGTATATTTTTGCATATAATTCACAAGGAAATGAGACAGATTTAGAAATAACATCCAGATTTTAAACAGTTTATAGAGAGAAGCAGAAGGTGTTTTGTAAAGCAAGGTAGAAACCTCAGTTGTCATTCTCTGATATGTTTTGAAAATAGATTACCTTCTTTATCACTATCAGTGAAAACTGCAGTTATCTGATACCACGAAGAGTTTTGCAGGTGATGACTATAGTCGAAAATATCTTACAGTGTGTTCATTTTCCTGAAGGGAACACATTTCCCTTAATTTGAACAGTAATTTTATTGCTCATTCCCTAAGAGAATAGGAACAAATGTGACGTGACTATGCTCTATCTTCTCTTGCACTGATTTATCATAATACAATAATACATAATACATAATACAAATTGTTCACTTCAGGAAGGCTGGCGTTGCTTGAGTTACCTCTGGAGGTCATGAAGGCCCTACCTGGTTTCCTGATGTCTTTACAGAAGTCTTGTATGTATTCTGTGTAACTGTAGGTACACAATCAATTGCAGTTTGTGGGATGGTTTTGTTTGTTTTCAAGGTGTTTTCTGATTCAGAGAGCTTGCAGAAGATAAAGTTGTGCTAACATTTGTTACAAAAGAGGACTTGGTTACATTCATAGATGCTTTTAAAGATTCTGAGCATAAGTGATTATTGGAATTCAAGGAGCTCCTCAGAAAATAAACTTGCAAATACATATGAGTGCTGAAAACTTGTGGGAAGTTGTCCTGTATTTTTTGTGTATAGGAATGGTTGATTCAGGGAATTCAAAAAACTATATCTTAATTAAATAAGCAAGATTATAGTGGGGAAATAAAGGGGAGAAAAGAGAAGTAAAGAGTACCTGTATTCGTTTTGTGGTACATTTATAGCATGTATCTTTTCTAGCACTAAAAGCTGTCTTGGGCATACAGTAAACCTTGTTTTGTTCCAGAATCTTGAACAGATGGTGAGAAAATTAGGTACCATTCTGAATTAATGCTTTTTTATTCTCTTCTCTGCAGCATTTTCAATTGCAGGGAGGACGGTTTTCTTTAATCCCAGTCACAGACCTGATAGTTACAGTCTACAAAACCACCGTGCATAAACAAACTTTCTTTTTAAAAATTTATCATCACAATCTTCTTTAAAATGCCATTTATTCAAAAATATTATCCTTCCTGTTGTGACAAGGAGTGTCAGACTTTTTCACTAGAAAATTATGCAGAGATGGCTAATGCAGTAATTAAGGTGATTAATTTGGTTCATTAGGCAGCTTTTGATGTATACTCATTGCCAATATTTTGCTCTAATATCTTTACTTCTGGCCTTAAGCACTAAGGGTTTGGTTGTGTTACCTGTTGGATCTGTTGTTCTGTTGGTCTTAACAATGGATCTATTTTTCCTTCTTTGAAAAGGTCTTTGAAAGGAGTTACTAGGAGAGCGGAAAATGCATAGTATTTTGTTGCTTTCACTTCTTTGAGTTGAACTACTTCGGATATTTCTAGGACAATTTCTAATTAACAAAAGGTATGCTATAAGCTTTAAAACAATCATGCGATTAAGGTAAAAAGCAAACATTTCTCTGTAGTTTGGACAGTTGTGATACTGAAATAAGTTTGTTAATACTCAAGATATAAAAGGTTAAATGACCTTATATTTTTGAAAAACTTCGCTGAAGGACAAAAAGTGATGTTAGATGACAGAGCAAAAGTCTCTCTTCTGAAAAACACTAGTAGACAAACACATTGAATTTTCATGTATGTATCATGAGTGATTTCTGTAACCTTAAATGCTTTTCACCTGTTTTCCTGAAGCTTTTCTGCATCAGTAATTCTGTTTATTTGAGGCAATTCTTGCTGTGCTGTAGCCTTAGCAGCTGCAACAAGAAAGTGGGCAGTTGTTCAGAGGAGCTGCTTGTCTTTGTAGTTCTATGATCCAGCCTGATTTGTCTTGTAACACTTTAGTTGCACCTGAAAATCTACCGACATTCAATCTGCAATACATTCAGTGTCATGTAAAATAATCTCAGTTCCCAAGGAATTTGTGGTCAGAGGGGGCAACACTGGGCCAAAGTGATTGTACCCTTGGCCTAGAGGATGGTTATGAAGCACAGACGTTGTGACTTGTTTGCTGTCATGGAGTGAGGGCAGAACCTCCCGACTCAGTATCAGTGAATAAAGTTCTTGGTTTGTTGTTTGTTTTTTTTTAATAAAAAAGCCAAACAGAAGGAATTACTATTAAAATACTTTTGAAATACATTGGCAAAAGATAAGTGCTTTATTAAGTAGGGACCAGACTGTCCACATTGCTAATGTCTTCATTCTGATGTAAACAATCTCCTTAAGATTGTGAAATGGAAAAGATGATTTCCTAAATTACTTATCGTGCTGTTGTATTTCTATATTTATTGTATTATATTGTATATATTATATATACAATTATACATTATATATTATATACATTATATATATATTATACATTATATATTATATAGACAATTATATATTATAGATATACAGTATTATATATTGTATATATATGTATTATAATTTATAGAGGTGTAATTTTTTTTGCTCAGACACTTAGGTATCTGTGACTCAGGAGTGGCCATTATGGCAAAGAGCAGATTGAGGATGTGGATTAAGACAGTCTGAAACCCCAGGAAGCTGTGGTTGCATTTCCCCTCCTGATCCCAAAATGTTGCTTAACTTTGGCAGGCTGTTTCCTGATGTCATATTTGCTCATGTGTGCCACCAGCCTCGCTCTTCATCTCCTCTGACCTTTTAGTAATAGTTGTAGATATCTCAGTTCAGAGTTGAATGAACTTTGTTCCCAGTTTGTGGACATTTATGCACTGGTGAACTTTGAACTGTAATGACACAATTCTTCTCTGTAAAGTCTAGCCTTGCAGTTTGATATCAGTTGGAAAAATAAAGCAAGATCATAGAGACCTTAAAAGTCTATATGTTAACCCTTTGAAACTTCAACCTCTTGAGTACAGATCTTACTTTTCTGTCTAATACTGCATTTAACCTTTAGGAAAGAAGTAGACCTGGGTAAGTTTTGTTTATGAATCTTTTGTTAGCAGGTGTCTTCAAGTTTTTAGTTACATCAGAAAAATGATATGGGAGTCTTTTTGAGTGAATGATGACTCTCCAGTGTGAAGAACTATACAAGCGTGAAGGAAACAGAGATGTAGTACTGAAAGATGACTTGTAGAGGATGCTGAAACTCAAAGGCTGGAGTGGTAGCATGAAGTAGACTTTTAAACAACAAAACAGTCATTCATCTTGTGAGATAGCACTAATACAGTCACAAAACTACAAGAGAAGACTTTAAGAATTCAGATTTCAAAAAAACTAGAGCTTGAACAAAACAGCCCAAGTCAGATATCTCCACATCCTAGCTAGGAAGAACTTAGGAACTGTCTTTATTGTTCTGCTTAGATGTGGTTTTGTCTGGAACTAGGACAAACAGTTTGCAGTGTGGTTATAGATAGCATGTGAAGTGGAGGAAAGAGGACAGCGAATTACTTTATCTCTAATAAGAGATAAAGCTTTAAAGTAATTGATAGAGTACACTGACTTCCCTACTCAAATATTCTGGACCTCTTATAATGGAAAAAAGGCCTAGAAAATAACTCCAAAGATTTTAGCAGATGATCAGTGAATTAGATAAATATTTCACTGACATTTTGTCTTGCTTCAGAAGATTATGATTATTGTTACTTTTACTGCTACTTTCTCATCTGCTTGCTGAGATTGGTTTGGTTGGCTTGTTGCCTAAGGTTAAGTCTTGGTTACAAGAGCAAATACTATGTTGTTGGAATACAGAAAATTACCATTTTTGAATTGACAATAATTTATAAAAATTCCAATATACTGTCTCATTTTGGTTGCTGAATTTTTCTCCTGCCTGGTTACTTGTGGAATAGTCCTCCATAGTTCTCTTCATTCCTGTAAGGTGACCAAAGAAAGCAATGAATTGAGTCAATTTGTCTGCTGGATTGTTTGCTGTTGGTATGAGCTGGGCCTTGAGAAAATGTCTCCAGTACAAACAAAATCTACCAGCCAGCTTCTTCTGGTGATTTGTCACTATGCTAACGATTTGCTGGTATCTTTTTGATATATCTGGCTTTATCTGACAAAAAAGAAATTGTTTGTGAGCCCACTCCTAGTTTGTTTGGCTTGCTGTCTGGAGAATGAAACGGGCATGCAAAGCAGCTGAGAGGCTCTTAGTCTTTCCTAGGCTGAATTCCGAAGTATGAGTATCAAAAGTTCATCTCAAAACCTTGCTTTTCTCTTACAGTCTCTCTTCTGTTTCACTTCAAATAAAGATTTACTGTTCCAAATTGTTATAAATGAGAGACAAATGTCTCGATATTCAGCAAAATTTTAGATTGCTTTATTTGATATAGAAAGAGCAAGCAGCGCGCTGGGGAACGCGAGGGGTCGCCGCCCACTCCACTCTCCACCAAACCTTGGTTTGCAGCCTCTTCTTTTACTGTGGGTTCTTGTTGTTCACAAATTCACAAAGCCTTTGGGTGATAATTAGTCACAGATAGCCATCCAGTTCTTGTAGATGACCACCAGGGAAGTTCTGGAGGTCTGGTCTTTGTAGATAATCATTAGAGAAGTTCTGGGAGTCTGGTTTTTGGGATAGGCAGTATTGATTAGACAAAGGTAGGAAGGGCTTTTTGGGAAGTCTGATTTCGCAAGCTGGTAGCCGATACAACTTATTTGAAAAACATAACACAATATAACATAATGTAATGTAACATAATGCAATATAATATAACATAACAAGGTGATTTTAAAAAGAATTATTTAATCATATAATTTCCTTTATCTAGTGTGCATGCTTCACTTCAGAGCTTAGTATTCTGGTTTATGCAAACCCCAATGCTTTTGTGATTAACACGAATCTTTTATCAATTGTCACAAAAGTGCAGTCTTTAATCAATGTCTGCACTGTGGATTTGGGAGGACACCGCTTTTTCTAGCAGCATATAAATGAGGTTGAACCTCTGGGTGGATACTGATAAGTACTTTTAGGTCCTTAGTCAGGGTTAGTCCTTAGGGTTTCCTTTGAAGCTTGGAAAGATGGGTGTTTTGGCTCCTCACCTATTGAAGATGGCTGATTGGATTGTCTTGGTGGAAATAGGGAAAGTCCTGTGCTTTTAGCACCTCTCTTGCTTTAAGCAGTGCTTCAGGTTTGCGCTATTCAGCTGGGGTGATACATCAGAAAAACTCGGGTAATTGTAGCTCCCTGCTCAGGTCCTGATCACCTTCAAAGTGCCAGCTTTGTGCATTTAGACTGTGTGTGTAGACTCTCAGGAGGACTGAAGCTGAGCTGTTTCCTCGTGAGTGGCTTTGTAGCCATACCTTGCTAGCTAAAGCAACAGCCAGGTTGTTTTGGTTAAGTTTCCTGCCTCAGAGAGGCAGAATTCTGTTTCTATCTCAGATTGGGGATGAGGAACAATAGCAATTGATGAATTCTGACTCGGACATAACCCATTCCTTTTACCATATGCTTTAATTTAGTTTCCTATAATGCACTGTGATTGCTGATGGCCTGGTGGACAAGCTTTGTCTTCATTAATAAGCCATTACGTTGTGAAAATGGACTTAAATCCATTAATATTTAGTATTTGATATAGTCTGATAGTTATTTTTTATTGGTTTTAGTTGCATCTTCAAATGACAGATATATACAGTTTAAAGTCAGCATAGTATTTTAAAAATTGAAACATAGCAATAATGGTTCCTTATTAAGTGACAGGTATTAGTCTTTTTAGTGTGACATTACAGATGCTAGTATAAGCACAGATGAATTGCTTTTAACAAGTCATCTAAATCACTAAAGTTTTTAATTGGCTTTTAGTTTATCTTATTTAAAATAACATCTGATTTGAAAACTAAAATCTATTTTTAAATTGAATGCGTAGGCATTCTATAGTATGTGTGCTTCTTAACTACTGATTTTAGACATGATCATTTAGAAATTCATGTATAGTAAATATGTTGTGTAATAGTTAAAAGAATTTGAAAGCGTTTTTCAAGCCTGAAGGGCCAGGAAGTTTCTTTGTGATGTCCATATTTTACCTATTTCTGATTCAATAGGCTATTATTTCTTAAAATAGTAAGTCACTTCTATTTCTCATGTGGGATAAGTAATACAGTAAATTTCTGGAATGTAAAATGTCTTTCAAATGGGACTACTTGACTTTGATTTCTTTGTAAGCCCAGTAGAGTCAGGATTTAATTTCTGGTTTACATGTGTGTTGGTTTGAAAGTAAAACCAGTGTGAGACTCCAACTCAGTCATACAATTTAATAGGAGAAAAGAGAAAAAATAAAATACATGAAATAATATAAAAGAAAAACCACCGACACAGTCAGAAATACAACCTGACACCCTGTCAGTCAGGGTGTTGGTAGCAGTCTGTATAAATAAATGGTGGCTGCAGTCCTCCTGTAGAAGGTGCAGTTTTCCTCCGAAGGTCCAGTGATGACGTGGAAAAGGTCCGACTTTCCTCTGGGATCCTGTAGAAAGGGCTGCCTTCGCATCCCAAACCTCAGTTTTTTATCTAGGTAGGAAAGGCTTGGCTCCTCCCCCTGGCTGGGGCATCTCCCAATGGGATGATGTAATCTTATCAGTCACACAATAGGACTTAATGGCCCATTAACAGAATATATCTTCTGGAGGAAGGATGGGTTGTGAATAGATAACGATGATCATCCCCCCTGATTTTATCAGATGGCACATCAGCAGAGGATATCTCCCACAGAGATAAGGATCACCACCCCTCCCACATTTTAACAGATGGTGATAGAATACACATTTTTGCATTGTACCCAGGACAGCGTGTCACTTCACTTTGCTGTTAAGATCTGAATTTGGAAAAAGATTTACAAAATAGGTATGCCAAATAATTTAAACACAATGATTTAAATAGCTTGTAAAGTAAAACTTGGCGGCCTTGTACATTATCTTTTTATTAGAGGGAAGTCTTTTTTTTGATAAATCAGTTTAAAACTCACATACAAGAAGGATGGGATTTATTTTCCTTTCATTTCAGTGTAGATCATATTTTCCTCCTCATCTTTCTGTTTAGAATATTCATTTTAAATTGTGGGAATGAAAGTCACATACTTGTGTTAGATGGTTTTCTTTATTTTCAAGGATGGTATTGGGGCATG